GGCAACTGCTTCTGGGGCAGTTTCAGCTGCATCTTCAATGCTAGAATGTCTTTTAATTATAAGTTTTAAGCGATCCATGTAGTCTGCTGGGGATTCTCCTTTGTTTTGCTTACAGTTATTTATTTTGGCCCAGTCAGTTTTCCTGGGGCAGATTTTAAGCACGGCCTCAAGAAGGCGTTCTCGGGCACCTACAAAACGACCTCCCATTCTGGGGTCTTGAGGAGGCCAGTTAGCCTGTGCGATGAGGTGGTTATGGACCTTGGAGGGCAGAACATTTCTCATTAATTGGTTTAAATCCACCCGTGTTGGCTCATAACAATTGATTACAGTTTCCAATTCATCTCTAAACTTCTGGGGTTCTTCCCTGATATTGGGGAATTGCTTAACAAGGTTTAGGAGATCTCCTGGGACTGGTATGGGGGTGGCACACTAAAAAATCAATTATATCTTCTACAGATTCATGCTCAGTCAATTGTGGATAAAGTTGTGCTGGTGCTGATAATGTTGTTGATGGGGGATCCCCTGTTGGTGCATTTTTCTGTTTTAATTCTTTTATCTGAGATTTTAGTTTTTCTTGGGAGCCCTTAAGGCTGCGAACTCGAGATTCTTGACGTCTTTTGGAAGCTTCTGCATACTAATCAAAAAATGTCTCCCACTGAGTCTGTGGTGTTTTACTGCCTCTTGACTCAAGGGCTCCACAGAGATGAAGGATTTTACTTAAATCAAATGTTCCCTCCAGGGGAAACTGCAAGCTAGCATCGTCTCTGGTATACCCATTCCATTTGTCTAGAAACTTACACCTTTTATGGCCATGGTGTGTGTACATGTACAACGCTGGAGTCCCTTTTGGCAGAGCCGGTACATCTTTAGACCCTCCGCTCCCCATGTCTTTAAGCTTAATTCACACAGGTCTTTCACACAGGAGAGGCTTATTGAGGGTGTCCGGTCAGGTCGTGAGATTTGCTAGTGGCACAGGAATGCTGTGGCTAGTGTCCAAAGACAAGACTCCGCAGCACCGGCACACAATGCAGTTACTCAC